CTCAAATTGTAGGTCAACAGTATTGATGCTGCCTTGTTAGTACCGTTTTACATCATTTTGCAACTGTCGATCGGAGAAAACGAGCGCTGGCTGAAGTTGCACGATGCTTACGACCTCGGTAAATTGTTTATCCCTAATGTTTCCTTGGTAGTGTACTAGAAATGAACAAGATTGTTCTGTCATTCAGTGTAGCTGCTGATTACATATGGGATATGAAAGCATGTAAGCTTTTCAAGAAAGACTAAAAAAGCTACTCATCATAATATTCTTTTCTTTCCTTATATGGTAATATCTCTCGTTTTATTCAAACACTTTGGAATGTTTTCAATTGTGCTGCATACATCATTCAGTGGGTGTATTCCCGTGATATAATGAAATATTCAAGTTGAATTTCTCGAAGATGTAACTAATACATATCCAAATCTCCAAAAATGTTAACTTCGCTTTCTATATTTTTTAGTGGCAAAGTACTGATATATGTTTGGGCATTCGAACAACCCAATGGGAAATTTCCATCGCAGGATGTATTAGTGCCTTGCCAATTACATCACACCAATAGTATTTCCTCCAATGATCACGATAAGCGTACTCAATTTTCTCACTTTTTAAAACAGTGATATGTATTTCCTAGAAGAATTACGCTTTATCACGATGAATTTTGACCTTCTTAGCTATATTTACTGCTTATCGTTATATTGGATAATACTCAAATATATATTTATAGCATAGGGAATCACAAATGCAATGAAAAGAGCGAAATCCCAATTTATTAATAATTGGCAAATCATGTTTTCTTGCTTTGTTTTTTAACGGAAAAGATATTTTAAAATATATTCCAGCTATCAAATTCCATATGAATTCAACCAGAGAGGAGCGTCTAATAAGGGTAAGCCTTTGGCAAATTAAAATATACGCCTTTTTAAACCACTGCACGGTATGCTCTCGACTCCGCTGTCCATCCTATCACCGGAATTATATGTTAATTCATTGCAGTAAAGTTTCTAATGACTTAACTGGCAGTTTAAATTCTCCGACCTCGTCATGACATAATGTACTATCAATTCCATATCGCGATTTGTCGAATTCTTTTCAACTTTCTAAATCAAATAATGAATATCTTCCATGAAATGATACCTGTTGTTATATTTGATTGGTTTAATCAGATTTAACACTAACATTAGCAAGTTTTTCTCGAAGTTCGAGTCATATTTGCTTTTTAAGGATTCCATAGCTGTGAACTTTTTGGTAGAGAATGTAACACAAACTGCACATACACCATTATTCCATCGTATTTGTAATGTATTCACATCCCTCCACACATTATCACGAAACCTTCGATCGACTCTTAACGGACGCACAACAAAGCGCTATTTAAGCACACTGATAACAGGCAATCTGCGATGCTTAATGCGGCACAATGCGGTTGAACGGTTTTCCGTGGAGTTTACGGAACGTATTATAAAAATGGCTTTAACGGAAGTGTTATGCATTAAACTACAGTGTAATTCTTATCGATTTTATCATGTTTTTAAGAGGGTTAGTTCAAAAAATTTCTAGAAATATAAAGGAAAGAAATTTTCTTTTGAATAGCTAAAAGTTGTAAATGATGAAATTATATTCGTACAGTTCCGTTTTTCCGTTTTCTCTTCTTCTCAGTATAGAATATTAACGAATGGTATTTTCGAACATCATATCACATTTTCACAAATATATTGCCAAATATTATATCACATTTTCAGGGATTTATTTAGCTGTATAAATGGGAAATAGTTGCAGGATGAACTGAAAGCTCTCATAGCAACGACACCATCGTTACGATTGGTGCATTTGGATTACGAACATGCAAATTGGTGGGCAATTGCCGAAAAAGCTGATTCATTCTCATAATTTCCCTTATGGAACATATAATCATATAAATTATTAGTCCAAAAAAAAAGCTCTCGTGTTAATCCTTTGTCCGGCTATTATTTCTTTGGACTGAATAATTTACGAGAAAGGTGGTGGCAAACACCAAACTGGCCCATAAGTTCGATAACACAGAATGTAAATACAATAACCTAGCCGTTATCGGCTCGTAATCGGATTGATCAGCAAAGAAAATAAGAACGGTTGTTGAATTTCTCTTTCTGCTCTGCACACAGAGTTCTTATATTTAATTTGCGGAAGTCAAGGTAAGATAAGCATAAAATGTCACATAATTCGATTAATTTGACAAATAAATCTGTTGTTACATAATTTAAGTAATTTCACACAATGAAATTGTCGCACAAAACCCAATTAATTTCAAAGGGAATTTGTTCCCAAAATTTAAAATCCATTTACTAATTGATTTAAATCAATCTTCTAACATTAACGACAAAACAATCGTCCAGCAGAAGCTGTGGAAGAGTGATATCATGAGTTAAATATTCTTAACCATACCATGTAAATCGACTAGTTTTATGGAATTACTGCCACGTCGTTTTTTGAAACTCATTAAGTAATTCAAGAGTTTTTTGAAACTTATTAAGTAATTCAAGACTCATTAAGTAATTCAAGAGATGAAGAAAAACAGCAAAAACCGCTTCGATATAAAACAGATTTCCGCAGCAATGAAATCACTTATCGATCTTCATTCCTGACCCTGCTCTTCCATATCATCGACCGCTTCACTTGGATCCCCATCGTCCAGTATGTTCTGGCAGTTCTCATATTCCGAAATCAAGCTTTTCATATTATTTCCCGCGTCTATGAATTCGGTTTCCTCCATTCCTTCGCCTGTGTACCAATGCAGAAAGGCTCTGCGCCGAAACATCGCTATAAAAAAAAACGTTTGAAATGGCATAGTTTTGCGGAATTCAAAATCCTGGTTTAGAACTTTTTTCACAACATTTCGCTAAATTCATGAATTGTGGCCAATTCAAAAAAAAGAAAGCAACCTTCGAATTGTTCTCTGATTCTGAAAAACACTTCTTTGATGGCAGTGGTGTTACCGAGAAAAGCACTACTGACTCTGGTTCCGCGAGCGGGCAATTCGCAGCCGTCTAACTTGATGTTATTTGGCAACCATTCAGCGACCAGTATATTACGAATACTCAAAATATGATTTTCCACTTCCTGCAGAACATGATTTGGTAACGATTCGGTGATGGCTCGAACGATATTGTAAGTTTATCTAAATTATTTACTGACATCCACCGATATTTGTCCACGGACCATTGCAGCAGCAGCCAGATAACGACCATTTCTCGGGTCACAAGCGGTTATTAAGTTGCGCGCGTCAAACAGCTATAATAGAATCTTTAAGTACTTGAATTGCAAATGAATTGAAAACTGTCCTGTGGGAAATTGTTTCTTCTTTCTAGTAACTTTTTCTTAGAGCAATTTCTTCTAGTAATTTTCTAATCTTCAATCTCTTTAATGGTATCTGAACACGACCAGTTAGTTGACTCATATGAGAACTATTCGCTTACGTTGTAGAAGCGAAAGGTTTGCAAAAAAGCGAAGCAATCTCAAATAAATATACCTTCATATTTCAAAATAATGATATTGAAAGCAATGCTTCAAGGATCCCAACAATTGTAATTGTTAGACTAAAGAGTTTAAATGCGAGTGAATAAAATTGGGATTTCATAAGTCATGTTTGATTTCATCTAATTTTTCTAAAAGCAACCTGTTGGATTAATTCATTGACTTCCAATCTGGGTCCAATGATATTTTGAGCAGTCAGCGGAACAAATGCAGACGTCAGAAAGTGAAGTCTCGGGAAAGGAACCATACTGACAATCAGTTTACGCAAATCAGAATCAAACTGTCCAGATAATCGTAGGAAACTAGTTATTCTGGACATAGCCATCGATGCTCAAAAAATGGTCATTATCTATTGCTAATTTTTATTGCAGTTTTTTTCCAAATGCCCAACATCGATGAGATTTGTATTTATTTCTTTTCCTGCGCACAAATATCCTTTCCATAATCAAATCACTTGCAGTTTTCTCCACCCATGGTATGACCCACTAAAAAAGTTTCAGACTAACCTAAATGATTGAGATCATCGTAATTTGGCCAGCGAATTCCCAGCGCACGCATAACAATACGGTGAAGCGCCTCGTTATCAATACAAAATGTCGCATCTACATTTTCGACCAGCTGTTGCACGGACAACGTTGTATTGTATGCCTCCGTGATAACACCCATTACCTGTCATCCAAATTTAGAGACAGCTCTTAGATGAAATCATTATTTGACATAAAGCAACATGCTCAACATTTATCAATAAATCTGTTCAAGTTCAGTTCAATTTTTTCTCATCCATTTTATTTCATTCTCAAGCAATGTGATCAAGAAATACAAAATGGTTGCATAACATACTTCGACAGAGGGGAACGTGGAAAATGACGATATAGTGCGGTTCGGATACTGTTCACGTATTTTCGTAATGATAAGCGCTCCTAGTCCAGAACCTGTACCACCTCCCAAGGAATGCGTGAGGTGGAAGCCCTATAAAAGCATTTTTCATATGGTACTTAATTCATAGAAATTGATAATTACAAAATATTTTATAACTTCTCTGTTTTGAAATGCGTCATTCTTGTTAAAACGATAACAATGATCATAACTTAGTGCTCTTTACCCTTAAATTACCTGAATCAAAATTCAAACAAAATAATACTAATTATTTCTACACCTGTAGGCTGTCGCTGATTTCCGCTTCCTGTCGGACAACTTCCATCACTGCATCAATATAGCCTCTTCCTTCTCTATAAAAACCCTTGGCCCAATTATTGCTAGCACTACCTCTACCAAACACAAAATTGTCCGATTGGAAAAGAGTTCCACGGGGAGATTGAAGCACCGTATCCAGGGTCGCCGGCTCCATATCAACAAGTATTGCACGTGGGAAATATTTGTACCCTGAAATTTAATTTCTATTTTTAAAATGGAATTCCTTATAGGTCTAATCGATCATAGTGATGGCACAAATATCCAATTAGTTTTTTTTTCTTGTTTTACACGAAGTAGATGAACTGACATAGATTGACAGAGTAGTGGAGTAATATTTTGAATAAGTTTGAATTAGTTAACTATTGTGCCTGCTTCTTTCCATGTTTGCTACAATAAATGGAAGATTAATAGTGCAATGACGGCAGGTGTGAAACTGATATTCAATCTTGCTATTTTAATTTATCCTTTGTTTGAAATGTTGGATCTCTCAGAGAAAAGAGCTTCTGAATCTAAGTAAAGAAATTACAAACCTTCCATTTCTTTGAAATATACATCAATACGTTCCAGCTGCAACTCAGAAGTACCAATATAAGTGCCATCAGGTCCGATACCGTGTTCTTTCAAAATCTCTTCCCAGAACTGTAAAGATCAGATTAATTTGTGATCTAACTTTTTGACCAAAGACAACTTTAATTGTACAAACCTTAGTTCCAATGTGATTTCCACATCGGCCTGCTTGGATATGAATAATTTCCTTCATATTCTTCTGAAAAAACCTCCCAAAAATAACCAAACAGCCACACCAGAAAGGAATACGACAAACAATAAAAACAGCTCTTTACCTCCTATCCGTTCAGGATATGATTTCTGGGAAAATCTGCATCATTTTTGAAAGAAATTTTCATAAACTACTGTTTTCACAACTAATACTTGAACATGACACCTAACGATAACAAAAACCTGAAAGCTAAATTCAAACCGTTAGTCCGCTCAGCTATACCCGCTATTTTTGGAGAGTCGTCCAACAACCATTCCAATCCTAGAGTGCATGAAAGCACGTACGCATTTGACGATGCAGCAATGGAGAGCTGATTGCGAGAGAGGGAAGGAAAATAAGACACAGTTTTCAGGAAAAAAAAACCGAAGAATGATTTCCCACCGGTAAGCCTGGGTGATAAGAACCAGTGACCACATTTACAGCCCGTGAAAATACTGGTAGCTGGTTTGTGGATGACTGACCAATTTGTTCATATAATTTCAATGCTGTTTATCTCGCAATTCTCAAACGAATGCATTATTCCAGGGATATTTTAAACCAACTTTAAACATACGCTGATCTATCTGTTGAAGTTAGTTTCAACTTCTACACTAATTTGTGG